CTTTCTTGACTTCTTTCCTATGTTTTTTTTTTTTTTTTTTAATTGAAGAACTAATGTCCCTGGTCCCCGATTTAGTTAGCTAATGAATAATCCACGCGTTGTGATCAGCCCCGTTATCAGATAGGCGCGAAGGAAGAGTGAGTGAGTGCGTGTAAATAAAATTAAGCTCTTTCCGGATCCGCAATCATTTTTATTCCTCGTCTATAATTTAACGACATCGACGATCGACGACAACGATGATGATGATGATGATAATGAACACGAAGTTTCAATAAAAAGTACAACCCTTCGAAACCGTCTGGTTTTCACTTTTTACTTCAACGCACCTGATCAATGTAGGTCAATTGTAGAGCATGGGATGAATATTGAAATTATTAGTATACGACAACTTATTCTTCATTCAATTACTTGAAATATAACTCTGAGAATATTTCTTCGTTTCTTGAACAAAATTTGCTCAACTCTGTAGTTGAATAACTAAACGACCGATCGGACGAATTCTTTCACGTGGGTGAGAGCCCGAGTCGACGTCCGCACATCCAAGTTGCATTCAAATCACTGGGAACGCAGAATCGTAGTAGGTAGACGTGCCTTCCGGGAGCAGCTGACACGTTCTATCGATCGACACTAAAACAAGACGGAAGAGATCGTACGACTCGACCGCGCTAAGAAATCGAAAGTCTTGAAATCGTAAAAATACGATCTTTTCATATAACAAGTGTTTCATTAATTAAATCTAACAATTGAAAATGACAGGAGAATTTAGAATTTATATATAATTATTTCCTTTATTTATATATAATTATTTATATTATTAAATAAGCTCGTTCAGAAGTTAACTTTAAAATAGCAAACTCATCATGACAAACGACCCAGGTGTCAATCATTTTAGATCTAATAGCTAAGCAAATCACCGACAAATGATCCCTGGTCGTAGATCCGGATATCTCGTTGCCACGGATTTCTTCAATAGATCGTTTTATTAAGTATAATACAGAGTTCATTATCATCGAAAGCACGTCTGAGATTAACAAAGGCACCCGGTGTGGGCAATTTCGTGGCCGAGACGAGAGGATCGGGCATCGCGATGGCGATCTTGACCGTGGTATATGGTCGCGCGTTACAAACCGCGTGATCGTTGAATGAACGATCCGCCGAAATTACAATACAATGGCCCAGAAGAGCCACTTGACGAATACCCAGTAAATGAGTCAGCCCGGCTCCGACTGGGCCGAATAAGGCCCGTGTGAACCGTGGCTCCGAGAGCGCCGTCACCGAGCGGGGTAAATGGGATGCCTTGAGAAAGCGTAAGAACCAAGGTTTCAGTGACCGAGCGTGTAAGTGTAAGTACACGCTGTATACATACGCAATAAGTGGGTACGATGTGCCCCACAAGAGAGAAATATGACGCGTTTTAAACTCCTATGAATTCCGTCTCCGGCTGAAGACAGCCGAGCCGTCGCGAACGTCTCGCGAGCTGACTGACGCCTGTGAGAAATGGCAGCTGATTTCAGGAAAATGAATATCGTTACGAACGTAGACAATTTATACATATATGTAGTTCCTTGTCATTCTCTACGGTCTGAACGTCCGTCCTGAATAACGCGGAACGATTCGCGAAATGGTTAGAGGGTTCAGGTTTGGAATTCGACCCCGAAGAACTATGGCAATCAGGTTTGATTTGATAAACACCCTAGCGAGTAATTGATAACATCAAAGGAACTGATCATCGACCGTCGTTAGAGAAAGATTGATTCAAAAGTAAATCCCAGGAAATAGAAAGATGCAGCCCGTAAAAGTACGTCGAGTAGCAAAGATCTTCTTGTCGTTGGTTTCACTAATTACCGGAAGTTTACTTTTCAGGAAATGTTCGATTATGATGATTTCACCGGATACGATACGTCGGATTACTATTATCTAGACTATTATGGAAGCGATTGGGAATTCCTGGACGATGAGGAAGAAGAAATCGGCGAGGAGGAGGAGGAGGAAGAGAAGGAAGGGAAGGAGGTGGAAGAACCGGATGAGATCGACATATTCGCGGACATGTTGACGAAATTTCATATTGGCATGGCTGAGAAAAGAGTGGCCAAAGCTGAGGCGGGAAAGGAGATGTTGCGAGAGATAATTGGTGTAATTCCATTTTAATAACTGGAAAGGAGGCTCGTTTTCGAGCAGAGCAAACTTAAGAACACGTGTCGACGTTACACCTCTAGATAAAGAAGAAGACTGAATCAGAGGAGACACTGATTACTCCCGAAGAAGAATCCACTGCGTCCGCAGAATCGTCCGACGAAAGTTCTACCCACCCCTGCCTCAAGGACATAGACATCAGCGACTCGCAACTGAAATTGCAAAATCTATACACGATGTGCCCCGTTCCCGACGATCCTGGATTAATACCAGCGTTCTGGACCATTCAAGAACATCGGACTGCCTACGCGGATGAGGATGGTATTGAAATGTTTTTCGATCTGGTAAACATGTCCAATATCAGGCCGATAAAAGCCTTGGAAGACATGTTGCTTACCGAAAAGATCAATTTACAGTACTATGGCATCAATTCCCGTGTTGTTAGACCTCTCTGCGAAGCTTTGACGAGAAACGTTTTCGTGAATACGGTCAATCTTACAGTAAGACATTTAGAAAGTAATACTTAGGAAACATGTTTTCATAGAACAGTAAAATATTTTTGATCGTTTCATAGGGCAATTGGTTATCAGAAGACGCCTGTTATCATTTGAACGATTTACTATTGAGAAACAATATTGTGCACACTTTGTTGCTGGCAGGATGTAAAATTGGTCCCGGAGGTGCCGCAAAATTTTACGACGGCATTTCAGAAACTACAACGCTGAAAACGTTAGATCTTTCTGATTGCAATATACGTAGCGAAGGTTTCGATCCGATCGCAAGGGCAATGTGCAACAACGAGAGCATCGAGACTCTCTTGTTGAACAACAATAACTTGGATGAAACTTGCGCCGATGGTCTGCAGAAACTGATCTCTTGCTCGAGTACGTTGCAACGATTAGGCTTATCGTGGAATTCGTTATATCCCGCCGATCTTTGGAGGAAACTACTGAAAGGGTTTGAAGAGAACGAAACATTGATCGACCTCGATCTATCTTGGAACGCGTTGGGCAAAGAATGCGTTCCACACCTTCGGCGATTATTATTGCGTTCCCCACCATTAAAAAAACTGAATCTAAATGGTATTTTTTAAATTATAAAGACTTTCTTCAATGCAAAGCTCTTGCGGTTAGTATTCACGTTGTCTTCAAAATAATCGCAGGAAATCGATTTTATGACGAGGACGTAGTGTTCCTCGCGCGAGGATTGTCGAGAAACGAGAGACTCGAAGAATTGTACATGGGCAACAACCCCATGAAGGGAGAAGGCACTCTTGCTCTCATTAAAGCACTTACTCCGGATAGAGCTCCAAACAGTCCACTGCGACTTTTAGATCTTACGAATGTCTGGGCGCAGAAGAATATTATACCGGAGCTCGAAAAGATTCGAAACAATAAACCGTGGCTTGATATTAGACTGGGTGGGATTCTTAGCAATTACAAGCTTAAAGGTCCGGACGTACAAGCGATACTTTTAAAACGGGCCAACTACGAGGCGATGAAACCGAAAAGGAAACGACGTCGCAGAAATTTCGGTCACTTCGTACTGTCGCTTTCTGACGAATCGGTTTCTAAAGGTAAAAGACAATGAAAAATTTCATATTGATTATACTTTTAAAAATACGTAAATTTAATGTTACAGGAAGATTTGTACAGCTGATAAAGAGATTCCGGTTAAAATTATCTCCGACTCTGGTGGATGCGCTGGTCGGCGCGTTCAGTGGTCTGAAGCGAACCGTCGATCAAGGATTATTAAAATCCATTTATCTGAAGCACTATCCGGATACTAAACCTCCACCGATAAAGCCTCCCAAAAAGAAAAAAGATAAAGGGAAAGACAAGAAAGAGAAAGGGACTAAAACAAAAGAGCAGCAATAGAAATTATGGAAATAAGTGCAAAACTTTATTATAATGATATACAAGTTTAATAATTTATGTAACGGACAATTATATTACAACTCCCCATTTCAACAAATGGAAAATAAAAATGACATAAAAATTAGAATACAGTAATCTCATTTGGAAAAAGACTAATGCAGCTTCTAGCATTAGTCTATGTAAAATATTCTGGCAGAAATATCGTCAACAATCCAATTTATCCCTTCCACGAGATTTTCTGCTGTAACTGCTGAACATTTGTATATCTTCCAGTGATGAGTTTTAATACTAGGCAATTCTAACATCTCTGCAATATCAGATGCAGACATCGCACCAGGCAAATCCTGTTTGTTCGCAAGTATCAAAAGGCTTGCACCTTCCAATCTTTCTTCTTGCAGTAACTTATACAATTCTGTTTTACAATCCTCTAGCCTTCTCCTGTCTGCACTGTCGACTACCCAGATAATACCATCTGTAGACTCAAAATAATTCCTCCAATATGAACGTAATGACTTTTGACCGCCTACATCCCATATGTTAAGCTTATATCCACGATGTTCCAGTGTTTTAATATTGAAACCCAAGGTAGGTGATATCGTGTCGATCGGCTCTCCATTGATTCTTTTCAAAACTGTTGTTTTACCAGCATTGTCTAAACCTCTATAGAAATATAACGTAGTGAAAATTTTAGAAAAAATATTTCTACTTCATGAATTGTAAAAATTAGAATTTATAAAATTATCTAATGAAAATTGATGCAGAATGTTTATACGAGCGTCGTGAATAATTCTAACCTTCTGGTAATACTGAATATAAGAATTAAATACGTACAACATTAGGATGCGCATTTCTTTCTCCTTCTGCTTCAGTTTTTTAAGTACTGTTAACAAACCCATTACATTTGAGATATCACTGAACACAATTTAACATAAATGCATGTGTAGTCAGACGTCCAAACACCTTTCAAACTTGTCAAACCCTAACCTCCGTCAAAAACAATGCCATTCAACTCTGTCTTTATGGTCTCAACGGGATCAAGTGGGAGAATGTAGAACGTGAACTGTAAAAGAGAGGCCGGTCGGAGAGAGATGCAAAACGGTTGGTTCCGGTGTACTTGATTAAAAATTAAGGACAATATTACAACAAAAGCAATTCAGTAACTTTATTGATAACATCAGGATGACAAAGTGCATTCACAATATTTTCAGACAGTTGTTGACGCGGAGAATAATTATCTGCACCTGTATCAGTTGCAGAGGAATTGCCTTTTAATAATTCTTCCGAAAATCGTTCTCTTTTCAATCTTAGAAATTTTTCCAAATCTGTTTTCCCAAACTCATGAAGCAGTTTTACATAATCAGGATATTCTGCTGCTAAATCTTTAGCAGTCCATACAGTACGTCTCATTTTTTTCAAAGATGATTCTTCATCTTCTATGTTTTCACATCCCCTAATGGCAATGCCAAGCTGCACGAACAAGATAATTTAAATTAGATTTTTTATATTTGTAATTCAGATTATTAAAAATATTAGCTGTTATATATTACCAAATTCATGCAGTCAGATAATGTACAATCAGCTTCAGAAGACTCCTTATATACATTTTTTCCAATTCTAGCTACTATTAATTTAACAATAGCTTCCTTGACTCTTGATACATGATCTGCTGTTATTGGCAGCCAAATATTGACACTGACAGACAAATCCAATGATTCAACGTAATGCCACCAACCAGGAGGAACAAATAGTACATCTCCTGGTTCCAAAGTTACAAGTCTCGGTCCTTCTTCTAATTTTAATATTTTAGTCTCATCTTCTTTAGTAGCACAAAAGAAATTATATTTACTGTACACTGTGGACTCTTCATAAGGAATTCTTGTTGGTTGCAGAAAATTAGTTGCATTTGGAGGAAACAACAACCACTCCTTCCTAAACAATGTCATTATTAAAATTTGTTTTGTTTCATAAATAAAGGAGTACAGTACATACATAATACAAACCTTCCATGAATTTGAGCTACTAAATTGCAACCATAAGAATCTTGATGGCAATTAGTATGAGCTCCCTTGCTTCCAATCCAAAGTGTAGAATCATCTCCACTTTTATCAATACCAAATATTTTCCAATTCAAGGAATTTATAATTTCTGGTTTAGTTTTAAACCACTCGTGCATGTACTTATAATCGAAATAATACCATTTCTTATCATCTTTATGGAGGTCTGTGTGTTGAATAAATTCCGACAGTGTCATTGAAACTGTCGAGCAATTTGTTTCCCATTGTGGACTCTGAAAGACGTGAAACTTCAAAATTTCTCGAAATGGCATTTACAGCGTCTGAATTAATAACAATTTACCGTAGATCTAGCATTATAACCAACTCGAAAAGGTAATTTAACGTTTCCGAATTTTTCAGCAAGTTCGGATAAATTCCATTCAAATAATTTCCAAGCATATTCACCTTTTGCATCTTGCAATATTCGTTGAAATATTACTGGCTCTTGCATTTCCATAATTGTATCGAACGGTAGATTCAATTTTTCCATTGTTGATCGTTTATTATTTATTTTCTTCAGTAGTATAATTTAGGTTACTTGTATTATATGTTACGTTTTACACTAGAGTTCAATATTAAATTAAACGATTAATTTCTTCTACGTTTATATGAAGAATTCCACTTGATTATAGAATCTCGTTAAATCACGTGTTAGTTTTATTTTAAGTCTGAATCGAGGACTTTAAATATTTCTAGGAATTGTCACAGTGTGATGATATCGTATGGGTGGATACCCGTCTCGTTTGCACCCGCCACAACTTTGCATATAAAAACATACCTAATGAAGGACTATCATTTTTAGAAAATTACATATTGACTGTTGAATTAATTAAACGAACGAGTCTCTTCCCATTATTCCGTACTCAGTGTTTTAATAATGAAACTAACTTTTAAAATATAATTTAACTCAGCACATTTGTTGATTACTTTAAATAGATTACCAAGGTATAAGGGTACATTGAAATAAAGCATAGAAATAGTTTCCGTAGTTCCTTCATTTTTATTCATTATTATCGTTATTTATATGTATGTACAGAAAACCGTTGCTAACCAATTCCAATCGAAAAATCGCGGCTAAAAAGTACAGAAACCATTGCAGACGGCAATGATAACTCCGCACGTATGTACTTTTCTCAATGTAGAACGTGTAAAAGGAAAATATGTAAAAAGTCAAATATATATATATATATATCGTAGAAAAGTGTGTATATATACTTCAAAGTGTAGTTCAATTCCTTACCTACTCAGGTAATTGGAAATTAATAAAAAACAGGTCCCGTCTCCCAAGTAAATTCTTGTGCTGGAACTACCAATGTTCGTTCTTTCTCCCACGGTCTGTATCGATGTATTCCGATTCGTAATTAGATAAAAATTTAAAAAACCGTTTCAATTGTTCTACTACAGACGACAACTTTTGAAGGTGTAAAGCATTTTATGCGACAAGGATGGCGATGATTAATCAATAATAATGACGGCAAAAAAATAATAATGAGATGTTTCTCGAATATCGCAGATATAGGATTTTATTTCCGTATAATAATTAGAAAATATAATTAAGCCGAGCTAAATTATGATGTTTGTTGATGTTCTTGTGAGACAGATGTTATAAGTGGCTTTCCATAGTTCACTTTCTTTTCTCACGGAACCCGCAATCAAGAGGGTAACACGTGTTCGCGAACCATTATCAACCCGCGTGCCTTTCCTACGAAATTCCTTACGGTGAGAAAAGTGACGGAGTAACCATTTAGACAAATGGAATATACGAATATCAAAAAAATATGGCGTTTCTGCAATTACATGCACGTAAAATGCCAGTCGTCGCGATTCTTTACCGATTCTATCATCCTTAATTATAAACCGAGATTTCGTAGAAAATATTGCAGTCTCCAATGGCAACAACATAATGTTGTTCTCGCGCGAGCAACGTGAAGAAAGGAGGTAAACTACTTCGGCTACTATACGCCGAAACCCATCTGGCGATACACATGTACGGAAACTAGTTATTTCTTTTTCTGGGCCTTCTCGGCAGCCTTGGTGACCTTGCCACCAGAAGCGTCCTTGAAATTGACGGCTTTGATGACACCTACAGCCACCGTTTGACGCATGTCACGAACGGCGAAACGTCCCAGAGGCGGGAATTCTTGGAAAGCCTCGACACACATTGGCTTGCTCGGAACGAGCACGACAATAGCAGCATCCCCAGACTTGATGGATTTTGGATTCTCCTCGGTTGTTTTTCCGTTACGACGGTCGCACTTCTCTTTGATTTCAGCGAATTTGCACGCGATATGCGCAGTGTGACAATCCAACACTGGTGTGTATCCGTTGCAAATCTGTCCAGGGTGGTTCAGAACAATGACCTGTAAGAAAAAATACGTAAAACTTTAGGATATTACTGTAATACAGTGGTACGAAGATGAATGAACTATTTTGAATTTATATTAAGAAAGAATAGCACTCGGACGCTCTCGGCCGTCAACAAATCCAAAGGATTCTCCGGTGGAAACCGCGAATGAGTTTTAAGAATTTTCATCATTGTGCTAATTAATGTAATACATTTAAATTTATTTAAAATAATACCAGCGGATACATACCTGTGCGGTGAAGTCAGCAGCACCCTTGGGTGGATTGTTCTTGGAGTCACCAGCTACGTAACCACGACGCAATTCCTTGACGGCGACGTTCTTCACGTTGAAACCGACGTTGTCACCAGGTACAGCCTCTTGCAAAGCTTCGTGGTGCATCTCGACTGACTTGACTTCAGTGGTCAGACCTGCGGGAGCGAACGTGACGACCATGCCTGGTTTCAGCACACCAGTTTCGACACGACCGACTGGCACAGTTCCGATACCACCAATTTTGTAGACGTCCTGCAAATATAAACAACATTATTACTACTTGTGCTTCAAATTCGAGATATTTAATTCGAAAAATATTAATTTCAATCAGACGTCTCTGACCATCACTGAATCGTAAAATTCTCCGGTGGAAACCGCGAATGAGCGAATGCTAGTCTCATCATGGAAAATAAATAAGAACTCAACTGTTTTTTCAACAATCTTGTTAGAATACTGACCTGAAGGGGAAGACGGAGAGCCTTGTCCGTAGGCCTGGTAGGCGGAAGGATGGCATCGAGCGCTTCAATAAGGCACTTTCCTTCGACTTTACCTTCCTTACGCTCGACAGTCCATCCCTTGAACCAAGACATCTTGGAAGAAACCTCAAGCATGTTATCTCCGTGCCAACCGGAAATCGGCACAAATGCAACAGCAGCGGGATTGTAACCGATCTTCTTAATGTAAGATGACACTTCCTTCTTAATTTCTTCGAATCGAGACTCGGAGTACGGCGGCTCAGTAGAGTCCATCTTGTTAACACCAACAATCAGCTGCTTCACACCAAGGGTAAAAGCGAGCAGAGCATGCTCACGGGTTTGTCCATTCTTTGAAATACCAGCTTCAAACTCGCCGGTACCGGCAGCAACAATCAATACGGCGCAGTCAGCCTGCGAGGTTCCAGTAATCATGTTCTTAATGAAATCTCTGTGCCCAGGCGCGTCAATAATGGTAACATAGTATTTGGAAGTTTCGAATTTCCACAGAGCGATATCGATCGTAATACCACGTTCACGTTCAGCCTTCAGCTTGTCCAATACCCAAGCATACTTGAAGGAACCTTTTCCCATCTGAAAATTAATTGGCCATTACTTCCAATTCTTATATAAACGTCGTAAATTTGTGGCATTTATTATCACCGTGCCAAGAAAATCTAAACTAGCAGTGATATAAAATCAATACACCATTCAAAATTTTTTAACTACTCTGCAATTGTTCTATCGTTATATGACCTGTTAATTACTTACTTCCTGGGCTTCCTTCTCGAACTTTTCGATGGTACGTTTGTCGATACCTCCACATTTGTAGATCAAATGGCCAGTAGTGGTCGACTTACCAGAGTCGACGTGTCCAATGACGACAATGTTGATATGAATCTTTTCCTTTCCCATGATTGATCTTTTAGCGAGACTTTTTTACTGGTTAACTCTGAAATAAAAATATTTTGCAAATAATTATATTATAAAAAAATGGACTGCTCCTTAAAATATTCACGTGCACCGGGCACTACGATTTCATATTCATTTTACGACTAAATGCTTCCGGATAATTATCAAATATTTGACTAAATTTTGAATCGGTACACTAATTCGTAGCATTATTTTTTGAGTTTGAATAACGTTGATTCCTATCGAAAAAGCAGCAGGTGGTTTAACGTCCACGTGGCGATATCTGAATATTCGAGAACGGAACTGGCAGCCATTTTGTACATGGCGAAGATACTGCAACGATGCCATGATTCGCTTGACGCTTGCCGTTGCACAATGCCACGTTTTGGATAAGTTTCATTATAAAAGAAGCTGTAATACATATTTTACATCCACCGAAACTTTACGAATTGCGTAGATAGGCACAATAATGTTGGATTTAATCATGGATGCATCAATCGCTCCTTCGGTCAAAGTACACTCAATAACTGATTAAATATGAGAAAAAATTAATACAAACCAACCAAGACACGAAAAATAGTTTAAAAATATAGATAAATTAAAAGATCTTGTATAAAATATTATAGCGAAATGGTATTTTATGCAATTACTGCCGGAGGTATCGAAATGAGTTCACAGCTCGATCACGAGGTGTTACACTTATTTCTTTACGCGATATATTTTTCACTTGTTATTATCACTTTAGCACAGCGATAAATCTGTAACTATGTGAAAAGAACGATTGAAATCAACGATACACCACACTGGAAATCTGCAAGCAGCCTCCATTGTTGGCGATGGGTCGTACCACAATGTCGTCATTGCACACGATTTCCAGCATACTCGTAACGCGTGCCCGGATATTCCTCAATTATATAAATTTACAGCTTCTTTTAAACATTACCGGATAAAACTACTTTTAATTAATGTTCTCTGCGAGTTCGCGAGGCTCACAACGAAGGTTCCAACACCGAAATCGCAACAGCGATGCATTAAACCGCGACGGACGAAAAAACTCTGGCTCTGACAAGTAACCGCCATACTGCATCCGGTTATTAGCGCATTTCTAACTTTTTAACTTCGAAAATCACGTCAGTTAATTGTTCGTTGCGTTGCACGATCTTTTTTTATACGTTTAACAATCGATTACGATCTTCGGCGTTTATTTCCGCGAGGTAAAACGAGTGATTTTCGAACGGGTATTAGCATGTGGCCCGCCATCGAACAGCCGGCAAATATTAACGATCAAGCCACGCGTCGGTTTTTCAACGTTACGTTTCACCGGGAAATACGACAATTTTCGGAAAACTGTTGTCACAACACATTTTTCCCGTATTTCGTCCGCTGTTCTATCCCGTACCTGACGTTCGATGTTAGCGTTTCGGTAAAGAAATCGACGGATTCTATTCTGTGCATAACCACGAACAACCACTCACCTCCAGATGCCACGACAGAAAGAGATCGTCCAAATGAAGTGACATGCGCATACGGCTTTCCGACCCCAGTCTCGAAACCAGCACCTCCAGTATATCGATCATTTCTGAAGTGATACATTCATTTTCTCCACATTATTTATCGGTTTTTCTACAACGTTAGTAATACAATGAATTATTATAAATTTTCATAAACGGCTTCTGTGTAAACTCGTTAATAGTACGCCAGTTTAATAAACAGTGAAATTAAAGTGTTTAGACGATGATACGCTGGGTTCGAGGCTATCGTTACGCAGCAACGCCAGGCGTGCCGAAAGCTGTAGGTACGTATATATGTATATGTATAAATATATATATGTATAGTCGTCTAGGATATGTACATACATGTCGGGAAGGGAAAAGATAATACATGGAGGGATATAGTCCAGAGAAGGTTCGCTCGGGTACATTCAGGGTTGCGTGTCGTATGGGTACACATGTGACACTAGTAGATTCAATGTTACGACCCTGAATTCGTTGCACTGCGAGATGCCAAGCAGTAACATGCACTAGAATTCGTATTCGTATGTTCTCCCTTCATCCATCGCAAACAGTTATTTATATGAACACGATGCACCTACTTATTTCGAAGCATGTACGATTATGTTGTAATCCAGATTAATGAGCTACAGATTCGTACCTAAATACCATTTGCAGTACAAATTCCCCTTCGTGACATTAACTCATTGTTCCCATAAATTTTCCTATTATTTACTGCTCCCCTCTTAATCGTGCATACATTTTTTAGCAAGCTTTACGTCAAATGCATATAAGTGGTTTATACGATTTGTCTTTTAATATGCCCCTTCATATGCTCATGTTTACATTATTTATATTTGCTCGCTTTTCTAATTATATATCCAGTGAAATCAATCCAATGCATTAGTGATATAATTTAAAGAGCACTCGTTACACTTTGTAACATTCGCATGGTGGGGTCTATGGTATGAAGAGTAAATATTGGCATATCGCGGGATTGTTACATAATCACGTTCTCTGCAAACCGGTGAATGACTCATTGAAAGCAACGGGCGAACCATGATGTATGCATCATTCGCCTGGTATCCATGCACCATACGTCACATGACATTAATAGTGCACGTGAAATGGTTAAAAGCTTGCAAGCCTGCAAAGTAATCTGAACAGATCCATTTTCAATCGAGATCGAGAAATCAAGAGATTCATACAGAAAGTATATGTAAATAAAATACCAGTGAATAACAGTTTATCTATGATGCACCTAATCTGCACATGATGTACTCTATTGCATATGTATCACATTTCCATATTCAAGCACTGAAATTTTAATATAACACGTTGTAAAGAAGAAATAAATAATCACGAAACATTTACTACAGTTCAGGAAAACATCGCTCCATATTTGCATTTGAATTTTTTATTCATTTATGAAAATTTCTTTGCATAAGATTTCCTCACGTGGTGCAACATATGGCTCACGTATTCTCTAACTAATAATTTCTTATTCCCCGAAGAGTTTATATGTATTTGTCATATAAAAATAGAATTATACTTATGAACCATCGAAAACACAATACTTATGAATCATCGAAAATAGATTGCTTCAATATCTCGCGATTAGATATGGGTAATTACTGATAACTGGACTGACAGTATAATTATCACAAAAATAAATATTCAAAGAATATTTAATTTTAACGAGCTTCGGATTGATTCTGAAAAGAGAGGAAAGGAAAGGGCCCAATGTGGCCGGGTAGGGCGTAAAAAGAACATATTTTCAACTTCAATCGTCTATTTATATTTCTGAATTCCTACTGACATCCGATCGTACAGACACTCGCACGTGGGAGCGGCGCAGCTAAGTTTCAAAAATTTAAAAATAACTTCAATCGTCGAGGAGGAAACGGATATACGTGTAGAAATGGACAAAAATTCACAAATATTCGCGTAGGTAGACGCAGTCGATGATGAGCGCAATGTGTACGCTTGTTACGAGTGAAGGTAATTGATAATTGCGTGTAGTTGCAGCTTTGTGTTTCACCGTGATACATACACATATTCTCTTTCATCTCTCTCTCTCTCTCTCTCTCTCTCGTTTCGTTTAAATTTTATTATGATTTTCCCTTAGTTCATGTCTTCTCGTTTTCTAGCAGCCACAATTATCAACATCTGTTGTTCTATATTACCTTAATGCCGACGTTTTGGTTCTTTGTATGTAATCGGAAGTATGTAGTTGTATGTAAACTCTCACATAAAACGTATCTCTATCATGCTCTTGTACACGCTTTTATTCTCTCTCGCTCTCTCATTCTTCCTCTTCCTCGCTTCGTCTCTCATTTGTACACATGTATGCGTATATTTTTCCACTTATACATCGCTATCTCTCTCAGGCTCGTTATCTTTTATTGGGACAATCATAAAGTTGTACAGGGTGATGTCGTTCAGGCGTTTGATCGGAGAACCGCTACGTAATAACAAATGAAAAAGAAACGGAACAGTTCCCTTATTATTTCAACGACAATCGTTATTTTCGTTAGCATGCAAAATTTTACTATCGTAATCGATTTCCGTGGTTGCGCTATTCATTCGCTAAAAAACGTAGCTCGTGTTTCAATGCGCTTCAATAATAATCGTAACCGATCGTTCAAGGAGTTCACTTTTGACTCTTTTTGAAAACTGCCAAGCAAACGAACATTAAAAGCAAATAAGTCTTGTTGCTGACATAGAAATAGCAATTGCACAAGTGCAGAATTACTTGTATAATAAATTATGTTGAAACAGTTGTCTTTATGTTTTTGCTTATTGAGTGACTCCATATTTCCTTTTTTTTTCATTTGTTACGTCTATCTTTCATTTAAAGAAAACGATATTTTCTCCGATCGCACGACACCTTTTATACAATCTTCCACAGAGTTCTCATATATAATATCCATATTATTGTTATATAT